TATGAAAGGAAAATAACATGCATATGAATAAAAAGCTACAAGGCAACATTTAGGATTATTCAAATATATATTGTTCAATTTCTAGTATACTTTATTTCTACTCGATTAAGCTCTGCAGCACTAGGAACATTAATAGTATGAAGAAATTTAATTTTGGCACTTCTTACTAGCAGAATAATTTAGAAATATGGGTGAAGAGTAGAAAACTGAAGGGATTTTGCAGAAACGAACAGTGCTACACAAAGAGAGGACAGCAAGAATCAGAAATACCGAAACCTAGATAGAACTGAGCATTTAATATTTAAAGAGGCTATAGGCTCAAAAAAGAACTCGCCATTTGTGCATATGCGTGAACAAGATCCTTCATTACTACACTAGAAAGCACACGTGAAAAACAGTAGAAACCAATTTTGTGATATTGTCGGATTGCAATTAAAAGCATGCATAAAATTATCTTTCATCTTCTGATTCAAAATCATAATCGTTGTAGCCATTTTCTTAAACACCTTATGTACAGTCAGTGGTACAATATAACATTATACATAATCAACGTACAACCATACCTAATGTACCCCGAGACTGTTTTTTAGCCAAGGAAGAGAGGATAATATAGTAAGAAAAGAAGAAATAAGAAAATGAGAAGGTAAAAGAAGAAAAAAAAAAGTGAAGCCACTGGAGAGAAATCAGCAAAAAAATATCCCATCGTACTATCCCTGGGTGTTTTGATATGATTCCCGTGGCTGACATCAGTTTGTCCATTAAAGGACCACTCTAGGCACCCAGACCACTTCAGCTTAATGAAGTGGTCTGGGTGCCAGGTCCTTCTAGGGTTAACCCATTTTTTCATAATTATAGCAGTTTCAGAGAAACTGCTATAATTATGAATGGGTTAAGCCTTCCCCCTAATCCTCTAGTGGCTGTCTCATTGACAGCCACTAGAGGCGCTTGCGTGCTTCTCACTGTGATTTGCACAGTGAGAGCCGCCAGCGTCCATAGGGAAGCTTGCAGCGTGCGCATTCAGCCGGCGGGGCGTAACGGAGGCGGAGAGGAGGAGGAGAGCTCTCCGCCCAGCGCTGGAAAAAGGTAAGTTTTTACCCCTTTCCCCCTTCCAGAGCCTGGCGGGAGGGGGTCCCTGAGGGTGGGGGCACCCTCAGGGCACTATAGTGCCAGGAAAACGAGTATTTTCCTGGCACTATAGTGGTCCTTTAAGTATATGTCCTTAATCTTCAGTATTACTGTTGCTATAAATAGGGTATCCACTTGCATCCACAAATGAGCTAATGCTCTCCTAGCTGCAAGTGAGATTTTGTTGAGTAGTTTCTGTTCTTTATTACCCAGCCCCACCAGGGACCTTGACAGCAGAAGACTCCACTGGTCTATATGTCATCTGTAATCTATGGTAAATGTGAGTGATCAGGCTGCCCACCCTCGCCCCAAAATGTTGTCACTTTAGGGTAACTCCACCACGTGTTTATAAAAGTGTAACGCTCTCCACACATTAACCAACAATCATCCATGAGAGATCTGCCCATGTGGTGCAATCTGACAGATGTGGTATACCATCTAAACAGCATTGTATAGGTCTGCTCCTGGATTGTTACACAGATCAATACCTCTGAGCAAGCCTCCCAGATGTCATCCCATCTCCATTGTTCCCCATTCTCTAGATGCCAAGCAGAGTTGTTGGTACAGCATAGTGATCAGACCCATTTGGTTAGTATCTACACTACATAATCTTGCACAAATGGTTAGGGGTTTTCCAGCGGCTTGCCTCACCTCTTGAACCTAAGCAAAATCCCTAATTTAGAGCATTCAAAAATAGGTGTGCAGCCATTTTAAAAGTAGCAGTTTTCCAGATTTTTTCATAAAAATCTGATTACTGTTCCTCTGAATTCTTATATTGTTGAAAGTTATGTGTACTTGATAAGTCTTCTCTGGAATTGGTTTGAGGAATTTATCATTGAGATGAACTAATAGAAATATATCTTAACTGCCTTTTCTCATCCAATAGGCATAGTCAAATATCTGCTTCCAACATATTTCACCGTTCAATCAGCTGTTGGATGCCTAGATAGAATTTCCATACCTCCCAAGTATTATTATTATTATGTTATTATTTATATAGCGCCAACAAATTCCGCAGCACTTTACAATGGGTGGACGAACAGACATGTAGTTGTAACCAGACAAGTTGGACACACAGGAACAGAGGGGTTGAGGGACCTGCTCAATGAGCTTACATGCTAGAGGGAGTGGGGTAAAATGACACAAAAAGGTAAGGATAGTATTAGACTAGTGACAGTTGCAGAAGAGGAATCAGTCAGGAGCTATTAACAGTTTAATTGATACGCTTTTATGAAGTGTTTTTTTTTAATGATTTTTTGAAGGAGTGGAGACTGGGTGAGCATCTAACGGAGGAGGTAAGTGAGTTCCACAGGAACGGTGCAGCCCTCGAAGTCTTGAAGGCGAGCATCAGAAGTGGGAGTACGGACAGAAGATAGACTTAAGTCTTCAGCAGATCGTAAGGGCCTAGACGGGACATACTTGTGTATTAGGTAGGATAGATAGGGGGGAGCAGCATTATGTAGAGATTTGAAAGCAAGAACCACAATTTTAAATTGAGCCCTATATCTTACAGGAAGCCAATGTAGGGACTGACAGAAGGGTGAGGCGTGGGAAGTGCAGGCGCACAGGAAGATGAGCCTCGCCGACGCATTCATTATGGACTGTAACAGCGCAAGTTGGGAGCACGTAAGACCACTGAGAAGCAGATTACAGTAGTCAAGACAAGATAGGACAGTGGAATGGACCAGCACCTTAGTCGCATCTGGCGTTAAGTAGGGTCAGATGGGCGCAATGTTTTTGAGATGGAAGCGGCAGGATTTAGCGATAGACTGAACATGAGGCATGAAGGAGAGGTCGGAGTCAAAGAGAACACCTAGGCAGCGAGCCTGCGTGGTGGAGCTGATGGTAGCACCGTTGACTTGGAGAGAGGAAAGACCAGAATTTCAGTTTTGGTCACGGTGAGTTTAAGGAAGTGTTCTTATTTAGGAGGGACAGTCCCTATTTTGGGCCCAAATCCCCCCTTCACTCTTTTCTATCCCAATTACTCTCTTTTCTAGGAGCTCCATATTGTTGGTCTGTAAAACAAAGCCCCACAGCAATGATACTCACAGAATGTGTCTTTAAACTACAATAAATGTGTTTATAAATCAATCTGTGCATATAAGATGCATTGTTCTTGTTCTAAATTACATTCTAGATGTATAAATTGTTATTAGTAAGTTACCTAAAAATTCTCATAATAGTCCTGCCCCTGGCTACACTCCCACACACAACCCTAAATTTAAAGTCTCCCTCTTTGTCCATCTGAAGTTTTGGTGGGTATTAACTAATTGGCCTGTAATGTTCAATAAGGTTATTCAAATATTTGATCATTTATCACCAGGAATTTATTTCTAAATTATTATAGAAATGCCTTTGAAAAAAACCATTTTTTTTACATACAGCAACTGGAGTACTTTATCGTTGATTCCGCAGGTCTCGGCTGTTAGAAATCTTTAGGATTAGAATGAATTTAAAATAATATTATAATCAAAGTATTTGATCAAGAAAGGCACATTTAGTTTTCCCTAGGTCTCAGTACATCCTTGGACCTACATGATATTTTTATTCAGCTTATTTATTTAACCTTAAAAAATGAGTCATCTATGCCAAAAGTTGTACCTGTGAATACTGCAGCTAGAACTGTATAAAATCTGCTCTCTCATGGTTAATCGTTTCACTTTTCCAATCTGTCACCCTGTTTGCTGAATGCTCATGAATAGCCACCTTTCTCCTGTCCTTCTCCTCCCTGCCGTTGGTAATCTGAGCCCCTTTGTCTCTATATCTTCTGTGTTCTCAGATCCATATTATATTTCTCACTTTTTTGTTTTTTTCTTGTCCATCTGCCAAAAAATCTTGCCTGGCCCTAGCCCCTATTGTCCAAATCAGCCACTCCTTAACTTTTGTATCTTTATCCTATCTTTCCTATTTTTGTCCTTATAAGCCCCATCTTGTTTCAGTCCTCCCTTATTTGTCAGTCAAGCCTCTTTCATGTCCCACTTAACCACACATTTCCCTTGGTTGTCACATGTCCTCTACAGCCATGCTCTTGTCCTTTTAAGCCCCCACACATGTCCCTTCTGTTTGTATCAACCTATTTCCCTCTTCTAACCTATTGCACCTTCTGTAAGTCGAATGCCTTTCTAATCCACGATTAAGCTTTGCTCTGCTGAAACTCCATCTTGTCCACCTCAGCCATCTTGTTATTCTCACTTTCTTTTTATGTTTCATTGTCTCCCATCTTATCCATCATATACCATTTTCTTGTTCTGCTCAGCCTTCTTCTACATTCAACGTTTTCGTGTCAGTTTTAATTTTAAGCTGTAATTATGTTTTAAGATTCAGCCATACTTTCAGCCAGTTTTGTCTCTTACTCGAGAGCCAATAATACACACTGATGAGTTGGGGGTCCTGCAATTGAGCTATCATTGATGGTATGTGCATATAAATCTAATATCAAGATGACTTACACATTGTTCCTATGGTATTTAGCCATGGTATGATAAAGGTATACATGTAAACACTGTCAGGATTCCGGGAACTAGAATCAGACAGAATCACAAACAAGAATAATTGTAATACCAGTCCTTAGAATGGCTGGGTTATACAAATAAGCAGACAGAATACAAGCCGAGGTCAGAGGATTACAGAGGTAAGGAATAACGATTAAACAAGCCGAGCTCAAAGGATTAGAGAGAGCAGAATAAACGAGAGACAGAAGCCAGTTAAGGTACCAAACAAGGCAAGTATAAATAGGCATCACTTACTTCTAAATGGTCAAATTCCGCTTGGAATTGACCACTATTCGTGGAAGGTACTTAACCTTCCTAATCTGAACTTTGACATCATTTTTAAATTTGAACATGTGGTTGGTTTTTTTTGGAGTTAAAGTTGTTTTAATATTCCATATTTAAACTATGAAAAGTTTTACATGTATATACTGTAACAGTACCAAAACAATTCTGAAAAACAGGAGAATACAATATGAAACCTGTAGCATGGGCCACAAAAGCAGTTGTAAATAAACTGAAGTGATAAAAGATTTTTGTAGAAAACAAAAAGTTGGGTGATGGTTACTAGTCCAAACAATCATATAAGCAATAAGACTTACTAGCCAGACTAGTATAAACTTCCAATCTTGTGGATACACGTTAAGGAAAAGTGTAAGGCACAGTTAACTATGCAAACTTTTCAGGCAGTGGCCAGATTATATTTAGAGTTGCAAAAACTAACTGGTAGAGCGAGTCATTATTTATTTTGCAAGTTTGCATCTAGTGATTTTTTTTAATTTTTTTATTTTAATTGGGGCTGCTAAATAAAAGCAATACAATAAACCAGCTTTATGTGCCAAGTAAACAGCAGCCTTCAGATACAGCAAGACAACCTGGCTGTGACTAGTTTACAGTAAAACCAACATGTCCGTTAGAATCTTGTCAAGAACAGTCTTAAAAATGTAATACTGTTTTATTTTGCTTCAAAAACATTTCAGCCCTGAGTTTCCGGGAGTGATATCTAGGATCCGCGAATGTAGGATTATGGACGACCTGACAGCAAGAGTAAAGGGATCAACAGAAACATTTCTAAGACTTTGGGAGCCATGGGATAATAGTGTAGTGGGATCCAGGGAAGACAGATAAGACCGAAAGGAAGAAGTAAAGGTGACCTAGTAACGGAGGTCTCCTCCGACCGGGGGGTTCAATCACCACACATGGCATAAGGGTTCCTGGAAGTGCCTTCTGTCCCCCCCGCTCCCCCCGGCTCTCGCCCCCTAGCCTTTCCCTCGCCGCTTCCCGGATGCTGCACCCACTGTCTTACCTTCCTTTACTTCATACTATCTACCCAGTCTCTCTTTCTGTACTCTCCTTTCTTTCACTTCCCGTCTCGTAACGGGAAGATTCCTCTCCTGATTTAATATGTATTCAGTATACAAACCTCTTCAGGCATGGTCAACGTAACGAAGGAAATGGGAGACCTAGAAATATCATACAGACCTTAGACTATTACTCCTATAGTTATACCTAAAGGCCTGAAAATATAAAACTTTCGACCGATTACTGACGTTAAAGATACTCAAAAACGCCACAAGATTCAAATGAAACATATTATACAATTGAATGTTATACCAAAGTTTGCTTCTGCGTAAGCGACACTTCTCATGCACACCTGAGTATTCCTGTCAAACCAATACAGTAGGGAATTATATTATGTATGTAAAAACCCTTAACGGATGGCAGGCCCTCATGGTTCCATCAAGCATGGGCATATATTGTAATGATTGAACTACATGACTATGTCAAGAAATTACTCTTAATTTGGCTTCTGCGGAAGCCCAAACGTTGATGCTTGCTTGCTATGTCTGTTGAGCAAAAATAAAGAATTTAAAAAAAACAAAAACATTTCAGCATTCTAAACAAAAAATAAAACAGAACAAAAAAAAAAATGCAAGTAAGGTAAATGTACAGAATGTTTTTGAACTTCCAGATACTGTACTCAATCTTCACTTTATTCAAGGAAGACATGAATACAGTCTTAGTTTAAAAACTACTGCACTGAACATGTGTTTTTCAAAGAAATTAATTTTTTATTTTTGGAAATTGGTATGCTTAACAGAAATGTTTCCTTTATGCACTATTTATACCACGTAACCCATAAATACAATAATAAAATATAAGCTTATACTGTACACTACATAAGACCTTGAGGACCAATTGAGAGAAGCCAGAAGAAACGGCCTAGTAATCAAAGCAGCTTTGTCTCCATGACATACCATTATACATGTATGCCCTCCTGTGGTTTTAAGTGTGTATTGCAAGGATTTTTTAAAACAAGAATATTTCATTCTGATCACACCTGCCTCACAGAACTTGGGATTGCACATGTGGCTGATAAATGATCAAGTTGTTTAGAACTATAATAGAAACTTACATATACTTAATTGTGATATATGACGTATTTCGCCAACATGATGAACACTGGGTTTCCAGACTGAGACTCTCAATGTAGCTTAGTGACAAACAATGTTAAGTGGATAACTACACTTTAAAAAGAAAACTATTAAAAAGCTGGTGTCTTGAAGTTTCATTAGTAGATTCCTGATAGTTGTGAATATATGCAATTCTTTGGAGTAAAAGTTGAGTTTTGTCACCAGTGAAATTAACCAATACTTCCAATGATTCTGTGCATCATACACACTACAATGAGCAGTAATAATTATGGAGCGTAGAGTGCCATTTATAGGGACACTCCAGGCACCCAGACCACTTCTGCCCATTGGAGTGGTCTGGGTGCCAACTCCCACTACCGTTAACCCTGCAACTGTAAATATTGCAGTTTTCATAAACTGCAATATTTACATTACAGGGTTAACTCCTCCTCTAGTGGCTGTCTACTACACAGCCACTAGAGGGCACTTCCTGGTTTTTAGCACAGATTTTCTGTGCTATAGCATCGCTGGATGTCCTCACGCTATGTGAGGACCTCCAGCATCGCTAAATTCCCCATAGGAAAGCACTGAAAGCATCTTTCAATGCTTTCCTATGGGGAGGTCTAATGGTCTCCCCCGCCGCCGGCTGCGCATGCGCAATAGGTCTCCCCGCCGGATGACGTCAGAAGTGGTCTGGGGGCGGACCCTGAACCAGCGCCGAGGGACATCGGCGCTGGATAAAGGTAAGTCACTAAAGGGGTTTTAACTCCTTCAGCAACTTGGGATGGGGAGTGGGAGGGAGAGGGGACCTGCAGTGCATGGAAAAAGGATTGTTTTCCTGGCACTGGAGTGTCCCTTTAACCCCTTAAGAATACATGACATGTGTGACATATCATGATTCCCTTTTATTCCAGAAGTTTGGTCCTTAAGGGGTTAAATATCTCACAGCTAGACTGGTCAGTTATCCTAGAATGAGGGTTCAAATCGAGATGAAACAGATACCCCAACAGTCAGTAGCATATTTTTGCAACAATTTAAAAACTGCTTTAGTCGGGGCTGGAAGGTCGCAGGGCAAAGCAGCTCCGGCAATATACAAATGAATACCTTTTAAAAACATGTCTTGCCATCCACAACCGGACCGACAGCGGGGACACCCAAAGCTGGGGGACTGCTGGACACGGGGAGAGGCTGGCTTGGCGAGCTTCCGTCCCCCGGGGGAGAAAATTACGTTGCCCGAACCGGGGCCTTCTCTGGCGGTGAGTGGGGCAGACAGCCGCTGCCTCACTATCCTGCATCACAGTACCCAGCCAAAGGTTCATTCCGGCCCGGACCCGTTCCCTCCCTGTGGACCGTGGGGGTGATCCCGCTCCTCACCCTGTGGCCCTGACCGTGAGGCCACAATCAAGGTCGGGGGAGCTTGACCACCACATCCAGCATGGCGGGAGCCATGTGCGCAGACAGCAAGGAGACGATCTGCTCCCCCCTCATGCTCAAAGATACTAAGGCGGCTCTCACCTTCCGACCCTGCCATACTGAGCGGCAGCTAAATCCTCACAGCCACTCCAGCCAGCGATGAGCTGCACAAGCGACGCAAGTAAGCAGAAAATAGCAACAGCGGCACTGAAGGGACAGCATACCGAGAAGCACGCATTCCCGTCTGGCGTACAACGCCAGCAGCTAAGCGAGACACCACTACAGGAAGACTTGCCCTGCACTCTCACACCAACCAGCCTGCAGCAGGAGGATCAGGAAAGCAGCAGACCCCCACAGAAAACTACCGGCTCCCGCACAGGGCAGACACCAGAAATCGGCAAGCCCAATAAACTACAGCGGTAGCAGGGGGAGACCCAACGAGGACTGCAGAATAACACATGGACATTCTATACTCCAATACCTGCTCTGAAGGACGCTTGCCCCTTGCTACACAGACACAGCAGAGCAGGTATCGGCTAAAGACAGGTCTACCCCTTACTGAGGGATCCTGGGTCCACAATGACGCCGACCCCCTCCTGCTGTGGCAGCTCGGAAACTCTGAACAACCAGGGTGACAGGTTCTCTAGTCCATCTAGTTCTCTGCAACGATCTAACCAGACCTAGTTTAAAAGTTACGCTCTATCTAGCCCTTACTCTACACAAAAAGCGATGTTATATACCTGCCATATGTATGTCAATGCCAGTTTAGACATGTACTGATCAAGCCTGCTAACTTCACCAAGATAGGCATGTACTCTACATATTAGCCTGCTGAACATCATATAAGACTATCTTTACTAGGATATCAGCCTGTTAATTCTAACATTAGGCTCTTGAGGCTCCTATGTCCCATCTCAAGCAACCAACACATACATAGCCTCAAGCGCCACCAGCAAAACTATAAGCGACTCTACCCTGGCAGGTTATTCTGTATAAGCAAACTGTCAAGCACCCATCAGGCACAGATGCACTAGTTATAGGTAGTCACTAGTGTTTTAAAACTGCAGTACTTGCACTATTCTTTCACGACTAACCTAGCTCAAGCACAAACTAATCCTGTTTGCATGTTATACTTACTTTGAAAATTGAAGCTCCAACGTTACACTACTTAAGCCTGATAAAATAAAAATTATGCCAGTTAAATACCCCGCATGTTACGCGTGAGAAAAGCCAGAGGATTGCTTTCCAGGCACCTCTGGCCTGCCTGTATCAATTACGTGCACTGAAAAATAAAGAATTTATTTAAAAAAAATATGGAAACAAAAACTGTTTTAGTCAACTAAAAGCTCTTATATAAAATGTTTCAGTTACACTCCTAAGCCATAGTAATGGTGTTTGCGTGATTGTATGGGATAAAACCATTTCCATGCCTCAGTAACTACAATGGAAGGTGGTGTTCTCACTAAACATACAGAAGCACTGTATTCAATGCTTTTGTTGTAGAAACATTCTATTGGTGGAGTGCGCTTTCCCCTTATTACCGCAATGCTTCTCTAGATTAAATCTCCCTAGTTACTAGGCATGTGCATGGGGAAAATATTCGGCTCGGTTCGGCATTCCGAAATTCGGGACTTCGTCAATTCGTCTACTTCGGAACTTAGACACTTCGGAACTTCTCTTGCAGCCACTTGGTAGATAACTCCCTAATTCCCACAGTATTAGGGAGTTATCTACCAAAAGGCTGAAAGACCTAAATTGGTCTTTCAGCCAAATTTACTAATACTAAGTAAAATTTACTTAGTATTAGTAAATTTTGCCCCTACTCGCTATACTGCAAGTAGGGGCATGTCTATTAAACAGTGGGGGCTTATGACTCATAACTCTCTGATTGGT